AAGGAGTCATGAAGCTTTTTTCATGGTGTTTTGAATGAAGAAAGTACTTTTCTTGGAGGAGAAAACCTTTTTTATTTTATTTTTGAGAACGTTTGGGGGATATATCATATATATTCCTCCTTTGGTGTGGTTAAGCTTCCACGTTGCCTGTTTGTAAAAGGCTCTCTATTTTTTTTATTTTATTTAAATTTTATAATTATGTAAAGTTGAATGCAAAAATAATATCAAAAAAGGCTAGCCAGTAGAACGATCTCAAGGAGCATCAAACTCGGGCCCTTTTACGAAAGAGGCATGTGCTCCATCCAACTCCCATGAAAATGCTATTGTGCAAATATCCAAACACTATACTATATATACGATTCATATAATATTAATATATATAATATAAAGAAATTTTTTTTCGGGGGCCCTTAAGAATCAGGGGCCCTGTGCGGTGGCGCCACTTGCACCACCCCAGGGCCGCCCCTTATCCTATGGTGTAGGTATATTGTTTTATTGCCTATATATATATATATTTTTATTTTATTTTTGAGTATAAAATGGTATTTTTATGTACCCTTTTTTATAGGCAACATAAAATTTTATTTGTCTATTTTTGTAAATGACTTATAGGTAGTCTTCTAATTTATGTTACTAACTTAAAAGTAGTCTTCTAATTTATATTCCTGACTTATAGGTAACACGATTTATCACTAAGTTTTTTTCGTTGCTAATGATAACATTATTTACATGTGTGTTAGGTACATAATTTCATGTGATTGCTATATATTAGGTAAATACTATAAGGAAAGAATTCAAAAAATTTTGAAATTCAATTACAAGGAAATAATGCATTAAATTTATACTAGCCTAAATTTATTTTAGAATTAAAAAAGATAATAGGTAGTTGTTCCATAAAAATAGGATCCATTTTCTTTTTCTTTTTTTAAATATGAAAAGTGTGAATTTACCATATTATCCTCATTTAATTAATAATTTCAATTCTTAATGTTTGCTTTAACTAAGGGCATTTTCTGGTATTTTGAATTTTTTACCATTCTTTGCCTTTTGCTTTATATATATAGATTTTCAATATGTTTTCCTTAATTATCTCAAAGAGTAAAATCGACAACAACAAAAAAGTAATGAAAGTCAAAGGACATCTAAATCCAAAAATGCGTGGACTAAATCCCAATAATAACTAATCTTTTTTTTATCCTAGATATGATCACGTGCTTTGCTTGGCATATGAAACTAAGCTTCTAATTTTATTTGGAAATATGTTTAACGAGGACGGAACTACATTTATGCATGGAACATGAATTCTTACAAGAAGTAGTTACTTTCGCTTCTCCACCATAAAAGCATTTGTTCCCCTTTAAACTTTCAGAGTATCTCCCTTGGAGATATAAAATGTTAAATTTGAATTTAATAGCTAATATGACAATTTGACATTTTAAATAAATAAAAAATCAACTTCAACCGAAATGTATGTCCATATCATTTTATTATATTTTTAAAAGCAAATGGGGTCCCTATAATGCATAAAATTTTAAAAGATAGTAAATAATATTAGGGTCTATGACTGAAAAAAAAATATTAAAATAATATATGACGCCAAGTTTTTTTATATGTTATTTTTGACATATCTCTTATGGCCTTCAAATTCATGTAGGATTTGACTACTCAGTTGGAGTAACTTTAACTTTTTTAATTTTTTCAGTTCAGGAGATGGGCAATATATAAAAGATTGAAAGCTAAATAAAAAATTCTATACAATTATACAATTAGTCAACCAAAATTCATATCAAATCATCAATTAATATAACCAAAAATCAATATCAATTAATCAAAATGCATATCAAATTATCAATATTAAACAAACAAATACAATCACGTTTTCTCTTTGTCAGTATATGATTAAATAATTGGCATTCTGGTAAACTTGTTGTGAAAGAATATCAATGGCAATTGTCTCAATTCCATGATCTGATTTGAAGGCACATGTTTCAATCAACGATTTCTGAAGTAATATTTTCTTTCAATCATGCATTTTCATTGTGCTAGATTGATTGAAGACGAATAAGTTTTATTTGTAAATCAATTTGTTTGATTTTCAATTTAAGTGTTGATTAATTTTCTTTCTTGTTTTGAAAATCACTATAAAAAGGAAGCCTATGCTTCGTTCTTCTCAACAACTTTCAACGTGGGTTTTTCTGAGTTTCAAATTATGAAAGAAAGTTGACGTGCTTCGTTTTCTTGAGGACATATTATCAAGAGTAAGATTATCTTGGTGATTTGTCTGTTTATTCATATTGCATCCATTTGCATAAGTTACACAGTTCTCATACCTGTAGCGAGCTTGAATCAATCGTGTCAAGTATCGGACTCAACATAAGGAGAGAAGGATAATCCAGAGAGAAGTACAGTTACAAAGAAGTTGGTACTTTGTTTAGAGGGTCTAGGGCAAGTTTGTATACTTCGTGTACGGTGTAATCATTATTTTTATAGTGAATTTACCTTGGACTATCTGGTCCCATAGATTTTTCCCAAAGATGGAGTTTTACCACGTAAAATAATCCATGTGTGTTCTTTATTTACGTTCTGTACTTTCAAGGGATTGGTAGCACCTATTAATCCTTTAGGTGTGTCTTTTATATTCCTTCGTTTTGCCTACGTGCCCTTCACTAATCTTTTAGTGTTTTAAGCTATTCTATAGGTAATTTCACTCTTTTTCAATAGGAGAGTAAGTCCATATATCATATGTATGTGGACACAACACCAATTGGTGACCTTCAATCATTCATCAATGAATCAATGTTGTTTCTTAACTAGAACGAAGGCCTCATTAATCTCATTCCTCCTAACTATAAATCGAGTTTAATTACCAACTAGAAAGAAGGCCTCATTAATCTCATTATGATAGCTATGACACCAGAAAATGTTGGCTAATCAAAATAGTAAAACTGACGATGACAACTTGCAAACAAGACTTTTTATTTTTCTCTCCCTTAAGTTGGCTAATCAATTATAACCCACAATTAAACAAACAAATCATGGAAAATAATAATAATAAACATAAAAAAATAATTTTAAAAAACCAGAAGAAACGAAACTGAAAATAAAAAAAACAGCAGACCTTGCAATGCGAAGAGAATGAATTTTGATGTAATTGACCAGGCTTCAAATTGAAGATAGGAACATGAACAAGATCTATATATCTAATTCATCTGTCAATATACTTGGTTTCGAGACTATGAAGTTATGCTTGAGCTTCCATGGCTGAAGACTTATTCGGTGGGCATGTCTCTTCATTTCCTTAAAAATATATTTTTTTTCCTGGCCTAGTTCAGAATGACATTGTTTTGGTCATGACTAAAAAAAATATAATACCAATCACTCTATAAATCTATGTATAAAACCCAATTTCAAATTTAAATGACTAGTAGGATATAAGAGGTTGTAGTATTTCTATGTTTTTACATCATTGCCACCAAACTTCATATTTTATTTATAATTTATTTCAAGCATTTCATTAACTACCATAATTGTAATTAATATACTCCCTATTAATAGCATATCAACCACCCCATTTCTTTTAGTTGTCATTCCCTCTCACATCTCGCCTCCTAAAATTACAAAAAAAATAAAAATTATATATATATGTAAATTACATATCCAAATAATGTACCTATGAAAAATATAATATAAATATATACATATAAAATATAGGTATATTATTTACCAAAAAAATAATAATAAAGTCAGTTACTTTGTAATTGCGTATATTTTTCATAATTAAAAATAGGTACACAATAATTTAAATAAAATATAGGTACATTATTTACCTACAGGTAAATTATTTTACAATATACCTATAAATGTGTATAGGTACATTATTTGGAATAGATAATTATGTACACTTTTCATACTAGGTAAATTATGTTTTTCATAAAACAAACAAGTAATAGGTACATTATTTTTTCAACATAATTAGTATGTACAGTTTTATTCATAAACAATTATAAAGTGGATTATTAGTCATGTATAATTCATAAAAAAGAAAATAACATAAACATTTTATTAAACAAACCGATTACCTAAATTTGAATTTATTGTTAAATTTTTTTAAAAATGTTTCAAAATTAATTCCTACATCCATTA